GTAGAAGTTCAGTAGGTGCTTGAATGAAGGTCTCCTTCAAATGTCACACATTTCATGATAGTGTCTATCAGGTGCTGAGTTGAATGAAGGAAGGATGCTATTCAGTTGGAAAGCAGTCACTTTAAGGGGCAGATGCCCTGTGTAATAACTCAAGCTGTGACACCTGAATCCTTTAGATAGCTGGCAGAGTTGGGATTTTTATTTCTTTTTGAAAGTTAATGCATCTAAAAAATATATTCACTGCCAAAAGACAACCAACATCACTATATGCAAGGGCAGCAACAAAGCCTAGAAGCAGAACCAATATATATATATATTTTTTTTTTCACAAAAGACTGAATGTTCTCAAGCAGTTGCAGAGAGTTTGGTTAGGCTTATAGAATTCTTCCTAATAGAGAAGGACATCTGGTGGCTATTATGTCTTGGACTTGCTGGAACCAGGCCCAATTTCATGTAATTGAACTCCATTTTAGAAAGGTGATTTGATCCATGTTTAATTAAATTCATTTGAATTTGTATAGCTTCATATGATTTTTCACATACATAAATGGACAAAATGAAAAAGAAAATGTTTTGTCAGATTATGTGTTCTAACTTTGGGTTCTGAAAATGTGTCCCTGTAAGGGGTCAGGCATCTTAAGGCTGAAGACTGGAGAGGACAAGAAATAACTATTAGTGTTCAAAGAAATTAATAGGTCCAGTCTCTGAAGATTCTTCCTTGTCAGAGGTGATTGAAAGTATGTATCAGTTATCTCTTGCTGCATAACAGAACACCCCAGAACTTAGTGGTGTAAAACAACGATCCCTGCTCATGATTCTGTGGGTTAGGAATTTGAGCCTTATTCAACTGGGAAGTTTTCACTCAGCTGCAGTTGTCTAGTGGTTTGAGTGAGCTGAGTGGTCTAAGATGGCCTTAGTTTATCTACTTGGCCTGGCATTGGTACTGGCTATTGGCTGGGTCGTGTGTCTTCAACAGCTTAGCCCACATTTCTTTCCATGATAGCAGCATTTCAAAAAGGCAAATCCCAATGCATAAACACTTTTCAAGCTTCTGTGTGCATCATGTTTGTTGATGTTCCATTGGCCAAAGCAGGCCACATTGTTGAACTTTCATGGGGGATGAGCACATTACAGTCTGTATTCTTCTCTATATTTTGTGTATGTTTGAGAATTTCCACAGTACAAAGTTTAAAAAAAAACTGTTCAAGCATTAAAAACGAAACTACCGTATGATCCAGCAATCCCGCTTCTGGATATTCATCAAAAAGAATTGAAATCAGGATTTTGGAGAGATATTGGTACTCCCATGTTTGTTGCAGCACTAGTCACAATAGCCAAGGTGTGGAACCAACTGAAATGTCTAATGATGGATGAATCAATAAAGAAAATATGGCATATACATGCAATGGAATATTATTCAGTCTTAAGAATGAAATCTTGACATTTCCTACAACTTGGATGAACTTGGAGGACATTTTGCTAAGTGAAATGGGCCAGTTACAGAAGGACAAATACTGCATGTTTTCACTTATATGAGGTATCTAAAATAGACTCACAGAAGCAGAGAGTAAGATGGCCATCACCAGGGGCTAAGGAGAGGGAGTGAAGGAGAGTTGCCTATCAGCAAGCGTAAAGTTTTAGTAATGCAAGATGAATAAGTTGTAGAAATGTGTTATAACACATCATCCCTCTAGTTAACAATATTGTATCGTACACTTAGAATCTGATAAAAGAATAGATCTCATGTTGAATGTTTTTACTACAATAAATAAAAAGGAAACATTTCTTAAGAATGTTCAGATCATTCAGTGGCCTCAAAGACTGGTAGAAGTGGTTATAGATGTCACCTTAAGTTGCCCCTAACTGCTTTCTTGATTACTTGGGGATGTGTAAGCTGTCAGGGCTGGATTCTGGACCCTACTTGCTCCTTGCCCAAGTTTTTAGTTTACAAACAGCATTCTACATTTAATTAAAAGAGTTAGAGGTATTTGATGAGAGGTGCAACAAATGAATCACTCCATCGCTTGGGACAGCATTAGAGGTCTTTCAGGACTGGCTCTATCTTACTTTGTGTTCCCACGGAGGTTACTCATTGCACTGTATTTGATTAGGTCTGACTCTTACCACAGATCCTGAATAAGCCTTGGGTTAAAAGCCGTACTCTCTAGGTGTTTTCTAGCTCCCAGTGTTCGTGACTCTAAGCAGTAGCACTCAGTAGAACCGAAAGCATTTGGAAATGCCACCGTAGCCTTGCATGTGTAAACAAAGTCTCTCTCCCTGTCATCACTGGGCGTTGGTGACTCTAGAATTCTTATTATAAAAACAAAACCATGAGCGAACAGCAGCCTCCAATTTCTTGTTACGTTGTCCATGACTGCCAAGCATGAGGGCTACCCTTGGGTCTACCAAGATTCTGTGGCTCATTTGCTCCCTCCATGCACTCTTCTTGTTTTAAGTAGCTTGGTGTTTTGTCAATTATCTGAACTTCAGAAAGCCCTAACTGCATTCCATGTTGTGGTGTTGCCTTGATAATTTTTCCAGATTTTTCTTGTCCTTCAAACTTTCTGGTGATCTCTACCTTCGTTGACAAAGGGCAGTTAAAGTGGATTTCACTTCGTGCACACTGTGTGCCTCTCTGAAAGGACTTGTGAGTAGAACGTTACTTGATCCTTGGATCTCTGAGGTTAGACAAGGAATTAGAAATATCTGAATTCTACTTTAGCCCCTAATCTTATCATTCCAAATGTGTGCTTAATAAGAAGCAGAATCAACACATCAGGTCAGAATAAGTTCAAATGGTCTAGAATTTTTATATATAGAAATGAAAAAAACATTGGCTAGAAACACTTAAAAATGTTGTCCTTTGTTAGGTATGTGGTTGTTCTCAAACTTTTCCCCACAGAATGTCATTTAAAGTTTTAAAGTTGAGATGACATACGTGCTTAACTAAACGCTTAATTTCTTTTTAGTTCTTGCGGTTACAGTGCAGAAGGAGACTCCTAGGAAACAGAATTCCCAATGAGATTTTGTAAAGATAGAGCTTTAGATTAACTTTTATCAATTCTTGCCTCAAACCTCCCAAAATTATGTTCGGTAAATTCTAGGGGAATAAAACAGTCAAAAGTTTGTTAAATTATCTTCACGTATAAGAGTTTGTTATAAGATCTATCTGGCATGTAGACAGAAGAGATTTTGTGAAAGCTTGAGCTGGTGGAAACAGGGTAGGGCAGATAAGGGTGGATACACTCCTGGTAAACAGTTTGTGTATCTCAGGTGCTGATATGTCCCTGTGAACTGACATGACAGTGGCTAACCTGGCCTTGCCTCAGCCAAGCTCACATGAGGGCAACTGATTTTGCAATAGCCAGGTTTTCTGCAAATAGGTGATGTTAAAGCCACATACTATGGTTAGCTATCTGAGTCTTTATATTCTCCATTCTCTCATATGGAAGGACTGGGTTGTGAAATGTGACTAAGAACACCCACAAGGCTGGAGAACTTGCATACTTGGGGACTTGGAACTGTGTGATTCCATGGTTGCCAAGTCAGAGAGATTGCTGGACTGAGTTGAGCCTGGCCCATCTGGGCTGTGAGGTGGCCCAACCCACCAGTTCTGTGTGATTAGGGAATTTATGGGCATATTGGGTCACTTCCTGTGAGAGCATGGGTAGGGGAAGGCAGTCATATTCATTGCGTACCACAGAGAAGGCCCTACCCTAGATGCTTTACACAAGTTACCTTTACATAAGTGATTCTCATCACAAACCTGCAAGGGCAATTCTATTACCTTCATTTGGTGAGCCAGAGAGGGTGCAAGTAATTTATGACAGGGCATACCTGGTTCATTAGTGGCACAGCCAGAATGCACACCAAGGTCTAGTTGACCCCAAAACTTGTATTGTTTCTACCGTCCAGTTTTAGAGAATGTAGGCATAGGCATGAAAATTAGAGGCCAGAGATAGAGTCCGTGGCTAGGAAGAGTGATCACGGATAAGGAGCAGAGCTGCATGCTAGAAGAGAGGCGGAGAAGAGTTATTCAGAAGGACAGTTTTAATGTGAGGTGAGAAAGCCATGGAGTAAGATCCAGGACAGAGTGAGATTAAGAGATGGAAAAGCTCATCTTCTGCAGAGGGCACCACGTAGACACAGAGCTAAAAATATCCCTTGGAGAAAGGCAAAGGGTAAGAAAGAGTACCATGAGCCAGTTGGCTCACGTTTCCCCTATGTCAGCCGGAGTGGCAAAGTGCAAGACAGTTATTTTTCTGCACAAATATGCATAACTCTTAGGAAACTTTAAAACAAATCTTTATTCTTGGAGTTGTCTTTTTCTATTGTGTGTCTTTGTGACTTGTGTGTGCAAGCTTCTGGTAAAACTACAGGCTCCACCCCAAATCCTGACCCAGGCTACTGAGATAGCCTGATAGTATAGCAGCTGTCAGCCAAGATTTTGAAATTAAACAGTACCTGATCTTGCACTAGTCCTCTTAGAAAGATTTATGGGTGAGGCCAGTTCCCATTCACCTGGATCTTGTGGCTCTGGCTACTTCTGAGCACCCTCTTTGGGAAAGCGAGCTCAAGACTGATTGGGAACCGACCACCACTAGGCTTCAGGAGGCATTCAGGCTCATGGAGCAGAAAAGAGACAAGCGTGGGCAAGGAGAGATGAAGGCCCAGGAAATGGAAATGCTGGGGTACAGAGTTAGTTAGAGCCCATCCGATTACAAAAGTATTTCTCAGACTCACTGGTCATATTGGCTGCCCCTTTCATGTCTGTGATGGGAAGAACCCACAGTGGCAGGCATCTTCCAGTGCCTTCCAGGCAAGTCCAGTTTGGCTTGGACACGTGTGGTTGTGAAGACATGGCAGGGAAGCCGAGGTGTACAGTTTGGGAAGGCAGAGTTAAAAATCCCTATTAGGGCAATCCTGAAAAGGAGTCACACCCGAGGTCTGTGAAAGGATGCCAAGCCTGACCTTGCACTGGGCATGCTCTGCTTTTCCAGGTGGCGCTCAGGCACGAGGATGGCGATGAGACCGCGGAGCCACCCCCCAGTGGGTGCCGGGACCGGAGGAGGGCCAGCGTGTGTTCCAGTGGCGGGGGCGAGCACCGGGGCCTGGACCGCAGAAGGAGCCGCAGGCACTCAGTGCAGAGCATCAAGAGCACCCTGTCGGCCCCCACCAGTCCCTGCTCCCAGTCAGCTCCCAGCTTCAAGCCCAGCCAAGTGCGAGATCTGCGTGAAAAGTAAGCATTAACTTGGCAGTGGAGAGGGGTGCAAGGATGCCATCCAAAAGAGAGCCCACAGGTGCCTGCCACTCTCCCTTCCCCACTGGCCAGTTTGTCCCCCACCAACCCCGACCCCAGCATCGCTGTCTACCTCTTCTCAACCATTAAACCACCAGCCAAACATCTCAGGGGATTTCCCACACAGGGTGGCCCCTGGCGACTTTCACAGACTTGATCTTATTAATCCCAGGAACTGTTTTTCAGCTGTTTTTAAAAAGTATTATTTACTATCTCAGTTAATATCTGTTCAGAAAAGCTGTGTTTTGTCAAATGGAAAAGACTTCAAACACAAAACTTTGGCCTAGAAATAAATGGTATGCCACTGTAGCAATGTGAGTTTGGAAGAGTCTCGCAATACTCCTGACATTACAGGGATGTCTCTGGGTTGGTTTTAGTTAAACGGAAAAAAACCCATAGGAGTTTCCAAATAGCCGTCTCTGTATATTTCAGTACATACTAATTTCATCATTTAGTCTGAAATATTTTTATTGAGTGTACGTTAGAGGCCAGGACTACTCGAAGCCATGAAGATATATAAATAGAAAGGTATGATCTCTGTCCCTATGCGCCTCACCTTTGGGCTGAGAGGAAGAATGAGAATGGTAAGATAGAAGAAAATGGAACAATTGGCAATCCTGTGAGGTATTACATGTATTTAAAGTATAAAATTTGACAAAATCTGCCAGACCCAGAGTGGCTCTATAGTATAGACGTACAACAAAAGGCTGGCCTGCCTGCTCCAGTGTCTGGATCCAGTTGTATCTTCCCAAATGAATGCTCTGAGGTCACTGGGATGAGGGACTTCAGGGTCCAGTCCCTGCCAGCCAAATCCACAGGGGCTGACTGACACATTCCCATCCTGCTGCCGATAGTCTAGAAGCAGAAAGTGCTCGTATCACTTGGCTGGATCATCCTCCCCCGCCATAGAGATCCTCCTCGGAGTCAAATTTAGGTCACCAGGCTACATTATGAAGAAGAAAATCACTCAGAATAAGTTAGATGACCTTAAGAAAGAGTGATCAAGATATATCCCTCCTCTCCATCTCTAAGGTAATACCCCACCAGCACTAAGAGGTGCCCCAAACAATCTGATACCCATGGAATCATTTGAGCAGGACCCAGGCCATGCCTTCAGATGCCTGTTATCCCAAGAGGAGGAGGAAGGCATTGGTCTGAGATAGATGTGCAACCATGGTCCATGTTGACACCCCTCTTCTACCTCGTAACCCCAGATGCCCTCTCTCTACAGGCTTTTATGTTTGAGAGTCTGTGTAAAGCAAGCTCTATTTTAGTGAAAAGAAGACCTAAACTTTTAAACATATTAAGGAACAACAATCTTTACCATGAGCGTTGCATCTTGTGATCTAGAATCTTAAAGAAACTCAGCCAGTTCTCAAAGAAAAAGCCCTTGAAGCTCTCTTCCGGCTGGCTTGAGAAGTTAACATGAAGAGAGTTGAGGAAATTGTACACAATCATCTGAAAAAAAGCCTATTTATAAAACCACCCAAGATGCTGAGGGCAGGAGCTAGGTGGACCTTGTCAGTAGTACTTGGTGTTCTCCTGCTCCGTCATGTTTGTTCCTTGTCTGTTTCTTGCTATTACACTTTTTGAGGATTCCTGTGTTGTGAGTTCAGACAACAACGCTTTGCAATAGGCTGGTAAGGATGATGATATGGAAGTGGACCATCCTGGGCGTGGTTCACAGTCTTGAAGTGCTGGGCTCGGTAGGATCTGAAACAGGAGGCCAGAGATGCCACTCTGAATGCTGTTTCCTTCATTCTTTTTGGAATTTCATTTTACTGGAATTATTACTTCAGCATTAATTTAGTGGCATTCGAGCAAAATATACTTTGCAGCTGGTAAGGACAGGTGACGTTTTGTCTATCTAGATTGATGATTATGAAGTGACTTCTTTTATGAAGCCTGTTGGAGGGGTTTTGCCTGTGGCCCCAAAGTGATAGCATGATTTTGATGAGCCAGGAGTGAGATAGTGGGAAGGGGTGGTGAAATGCAGAATGGGAAATGATTTCTTCCTGCATAGCTTAGTCACCTGCTCAACATCTGTGCCTCAAAACTACCTCATAGTCAAGTGGCTCGTTATGTTCTGTCCCCTGCATACTTTGAAAGACACAGAAGCTGCCTCATGTACATAGATGCACATTGCTCTTATTTTCTGCAAACGCCCTGACTGCACCTAATGCTAGCTTGTAGCAACATGCCTGCAGATGCCACATATGAAGGATTTGGGGCTAGATTTTATAACTCAGTGACCCAAGTGACGCCAACTTTTGTAAAGAAGGGAGAAATATGTTTTAGAAAGGGGTTCATGTTGCTCTAAAAAAATATAGGGCAGTCTCCACTCAGATGGCCCTTTTGTATCATTTGAATTTAACTCTCACGATCATCCTCTATAAGATTCAGACAGGACAGGTTTTATTATTCTCATTGTACAAATGAGAAAACAGATGGGGCTAAGTGCCTATTCCAAATCACAGGACTAAGGGCTATGACCAAGGGTTGGGCCCTGGGCTCTCAATGTCCAAAGTATGCAGACTCTTTCCCAGGTAACCACATCCTAGCCAACCACTCCTAAACATATTCCTCAAGCGAGATGATTAGAGAGACAATTTGATTTACATACCTTGTAGGTATTTTTTTTGTTTGAGGTAAATACAAAAATTCAAAGACTTGAAAAGGAGAAATTCTTAGTCTCCCTGTAGACTTAAGCTAGCTATGTGCTTTAATTCTAATGAAGACTAATAAGAGCCTGAACTCAGCTTTGTTTGGTTTGGTTTCTTAAGAAATCGAACTCCACACTGAGCATTTGCCCAATAAGGTACAAGTGTATTGGTCACTGGTCAACTAAAAGCATCTTTATGGGACTGTGTGTGTCATAATGAGTTTCATCTTTGCACTTAAAATTTACAAATTTCATTGGAAGGGGAAAAAAGTCTTAATACTAGAAAGTTCTTAAAATTTAGCCCAAAGCAGGAGCCCTTTCTGTCATGTTCCCAAGAGATGGGGTACACTTCCAGGCATGGGTGCTCTCTTTCCTGAGGCACCCCATCTGCCCTTGAACTATTCTGTTTATCCTGGTTCTTCCTCTATTGACAAAAACAGGGCTGCTTCCTGCTCTCTGTGTCAGTCTTTCTGACATCAAACACTGCATGGGACTTAACATGTGAACTTTCAGTTTCATCCTGCTGATTTCCACACAACATTCCGAACTATAGAAGTAATTTTGAACTTCATTTAGTCACTAATGTTAACAGTTGTGCCATGCAGCTTTCAGTCATGTGTATATTTTAATATACATGGAAGAGTGACCTGGCAGATAGTGGATATTGACAACTGGTTAGGGAGTGGAGGGTCCAGACTAGTGCCACATGCCTCAGCAGCAGGGTCTGCAAACTTTCTCTGTCAAGGGCCAAGTAATATGTTAAACTTGGAGTACCAGACGGTCTCTGTTGCAACTACTCAACTGAATTCTGCCTTTGTAGCATGTCAACAGCCATCAGCCACTGGTACCAGCATGAGCATGGCTGCATTCCAGTGACATTTTATTTATGGACACTGAGATTTGAATTTTACATGTCATGAAATATGATTCTTTTGATTTTTTTTTCAACCATTAAATATGTGAAAACCACTCTTAGCTCACAGGCCATATAAAAACAGGTGGTAGGCCAGATGTAGCCCACAGGCTGTAGTTTGCCAACCTCTGTCCCAGGGGTCTGGGTTTCTAGAGGGAGGTTGGGGGAAAATGACCTTTAATTGGCAAAGGGGAATATGTGGCATATGAGAGAAAAATCCACCGTGTTATGTGTGAGGGCTATGGGGAACAGTATTCTTGGATTTGCTGTTAGAGCAAGGAAGTCAAAGGAAAATTCTATGAAGAGATTGAGACTATATGGGACTTTGCTGATGGCTGATCATGAGTTCCCAGAGCACAGAGGCCGAAGATTGAGGCATTGGAGAAGGGCAGGAGATAAGCCAGATTGAGGGGACATGTGGAGAGGAGGGGACTGTGTGATAAGTCCAAGGAAGGTTGGACTGTGCAGGCCGGGACTGGTCCCAGTGGTCCCTTCGGGCAGTGGTTCTTGACCAGGGATGATTTTGCCACCTAGGAGACATCTAAACACATTTTTGGTTGTTATAGCTGGGACGGGGTGGTACTACTGGCATCTAGTGGATCGAGTCCAGGAATGCTGTTCTACTAAGTGCAGGATAGCCCCCTGCCAAACAAATAATTATCTGTTTTAAAATGTCAGTAGTGTTGAATCTGGGAAATTCTGCCTTAGGGGAAGGCGGATCGTTGGTTATATAATCCACATGATGCTGAGATAGTGTTTGGGCCACTGGAAAGGGCAGTTTTCTTAGAAGCATTTGGAACTCTGCACCTACCTTAAATGTTCATGTGCATGGGTCAAAATTCACTCTTTTTCAGAGAATATAATCAGCTAAAACACAGATCTATAGAATATATTTCTAGCTTAAAGAAAATCCATTGGTATTTTACCAACACATGTCATGGAAACAGTATTTCTCAAAGGAGATAGGAATTGTCTTTCACAGCTGACTGGTTACTCTGGGCTACTACATGGTTTACAGCAGTCTTTTTTTGATTTTAAGTCCATTTAGCAAAGTTTTGCATTTCAAATTCTCAGGAAATATGCTTGAACACTTTTAGGGGACCAAAGCTTGACTGAATCTCATGTTACTCTCAGTAACTGAAATGCCAACATATCCAATTCTAATTGGCTTCACTCACATCCATCACTCCAAAAAACTGACATAATGGAATGTGACACCAGCATAAAACAACTTGGCAAGAGAGAACAATGATTATATAAGAGAGGTGTGACAGTCTATAGCCAGGCTTCACGAACCTGTTCAGAGGAAGAGGAACCCAGCACGGTCTCACTAGAGATGTTCAAGTGGAGCTGAGGAATCAGCAC